AGGACAGATTAATGCCATCCAAGGAGGGAGAAAGACTGAAAATTATTCCTAAGATGCTCAGGTCCAAAAACCAAAACCTCAGTCTTGTCTGTGTTCAAAAGCAAAAAGTTTAGGGTCATCCAGGTTTATATGTTTTTTCATTTACCCTTTATTTATCCAGGTAGTCTCATTGAGCCACGAGAACTCATTTTCAAGAGAGACCTGTTTAGGGAGCAGATGGGGGTTAAGGGCGTTGCTCATGGGCCCAGAGTGGGGCGAATGAGGGTGGGGGCAGTCGCGGGCACCCCACTTACCCCACCCACATTGTTAACGTTGTCGACACCGGGGCTTGAACCAGCGATCCTCTGACCACAGGCCCACCCCCTCTAACCTTTGCGCCACAACTCTCCAATTTATGTCTTTAAGACATGCTTGTAGTCTAAGTAACTGATTGGATTCATTGGGTTTCATGGACGAATATTACTGTGTATCATCAGCATAACAATGAAAATTTATCCCACACTGTTTAATAACTTCACCTAAAAGAAGCATATATAAGGTAAAGCGTATTGGTCCAAGCACTGAACCCTGAGGAACTGCATGACTAACTTAAGATAAGATAAGATAAGACAAGACAAGATAAGATAGAACTTTATTGATTCTGCAAGAAATTGTTGTGCCAGAGTTTCAGTACAACTAAACATACACAAGGAATCACACAAGATATTAAAAAATAAAATAAAATAAATAACAGAGAATATAAAAATGCCAGCAATTAAGTTCTAAACAAGTCAGGTGCAGACATGTATGAAATGTTTAATGTGTGAAATATCTTAATGTTTTAATGTGAAAACATTAAAGTGTTTATTGTAGTACAGGATTAATTTTATTGTCTTATGTGCAGAAAGGGGGAGGAGTTGAAAAGTTTGATAGCCACAGGGAGGAAGGACTTCCTGTGTTGTTCTGTGGAGCACCTCGGTGGTCTCAGTCTACGACTTAAGGTGCTGTGGTAAAAGTCCAGGGTGTCATGCAGGGGGTGTGACGTGTTGTTCAGGATCTGGAGCAGTTTCCTCAGCATCCTCTGCTCAGACACCTCTGTCAGAGACTGCAGGTCCACTCCCAGAACTGAACCAGCTCTCTTGATGAGTTTATCAAGTCTGTTAGCATCAGCTTTCTTCACCCTGCTGCTCCAGCACACTATAGTGTAGAAGAAGACGCTGGAGACCACCGAGTGGTAAAGCATCTTCAGCATGGTCCTGAAGAGACCACCGAGTGGTAAAACATCTGCAGCATGATCCTGCAGACGTTAAAGGACCTGAGTCTCCTCAGAAGAAAAAGGCGACTCTGCCCTTTTTTGTAGAGGGTGTTGGTGTTAGCTGTCCAGTCAAGTTTATTGTCTAGGTGGACCCCCAGGTACTTGTACAGTGTCCACCTTAGTACCCTTGATGTTGATAGGGTTGTGGGTGCTGGTCTTCTTCCTGTAGTCCACCTGCAGCTCTTTAGTTTTTCCAACGTTAAATTGCAGGTGGTACTGTCCACACAACTCCACAAAGCTGTCCACCACACCTCTGTATTCAGCTTCCTGGTCACCAGTGATGCAACCAACAATGACAGAGTCATCGAGAACTTGTGCAGATGGCAGGATTGTGAGTTGTACCTGAAGACCTGAGGTGTAGAGGATGAACAGAAACGGCAAGAGGACTGTCCCCTGAGGAGCCCCTGTGCTGCTCAGTATGGTGTCCAAGGTGAGGTTCTGCAGCCTCACATACTGTGGCCAACTTCAGAGTATGAAGAAGATTCATTACAAATTTGAATCTATCAGATGAATATGATTTAAACCAATTTAGAGCCGTTCCTGTAATTCCAATATCAGGTTCTGTGAACTACCCATCCAGGCTGTCATATTGTAAAGTTTGCAGATGATACAGTGGTGGTTGGATGCATCACAAACAATGATGCGTCCAGCTACAGGCAGGAGGTGGAACACCTGGAGAGCTGGTGCAGGAAGAACAACCTTCACATCAATGTGAAGAAGGCAAAGGAGATGATCGTGAACTTCAGAAGGAACAAACAGACCTACACCCCCCTGAACATAAGAGGCTCTGCAGTGGAAGTGGTCTCCAGCACCAAGTGCTTGGGGGTGCACCTGAATGACAACCTCAGCTGGAGCAACACCACCAGCCTGATGAAGAAAGCTCATCAGAGACTCTACTTCCTCAGGCAGCTGAGATGAGCTGGTCTGTGAAGCTCAGTCCTCACCTCCTTCTACAGGTGTGCAGTGGAGAGCATCCTGTGCTCCAGCATCAACGTGTGGCATGGAGGCTGCACAGCTGCAGAAAGAAAAGCTTTGCAGAGAGTGGTGAAGGCTGCACAGAAGATGTTGGAGTCAGTCTCCCCTCCACCACAGACATCTACACCTCCAGATGCAGGAAGAGGTCCACCTGCATCATGAAGGACCCCACTCACCCAGCACACACACTTTTTACAGCAACCTTAAAGCGCTGTGGTACATCACCATTCATTAAAGACAAATTAAGTAGATCCAAAATGTGGACATTAATTAGGGGAAATACCTCTTTAAGCAGTTTGGTTGGGATGGGATCTAGCAGACATGTGGATGGTTTGGAAGAAGCTATTATTTTTGACAATTCAGAGAGTTCAACAGGACAAAACCAGTCCAAACAAAAATCAGGTTCGAGTGACATTTTTAAAGTTGCCTCATCTGGCAGGGAATCAGAGGTGATTGTAAGAAGGATGGTTTGAATTATCTCCCTATTGAAATAATTTTATTTATAATCCCATGAAGTCATCACTGCTTATAGTTGTAGGGATTCATGAATCAACAGAGATAGGATTTTTTATTAGACTAGTTATGGCACTGAAAAGGAACCTGGGGTTATTTTTATTCTCATCAATTAAAGATGAATAATATAAAGTTATAGCTCTACAGAGAGCTTTTTTATAAGTTAGCAGGTTATCTCTCCAAGATAAATAAAATCCACTGACATTAGTGGAGCGCCATTTTCTATCCAGCTTTCTAGATGCCCGATTTAAAAGATGTAACTCGGAACTGAACCAAAGAGCCAGTCTCTGATTGATTACTTTCATTTTCAGCTGAGCAGTTTTATCAAGTAAAGTTTGTATAGAATTTGTAAATTTATCAACCAGATGATCTAAGTTACTGTTCTCTAAATGGTAAATGGACTGTACTTATATAACACCTTTCTATCTTATCAAGATACTCAAAGCTCTTTACAACAATATGTGCCTCATTTACCCATTCATACAGCACTCTACTAGATACAAATATAATTGAACAAATCATTCTAGTAATCAGAGCTTTATCACATTCATACACCGATGGGACACACATCAGAGGCAAAGACAGGTTCAGTGTCTTGCCCAGGGACACGTCGGCATGTGACTGTTGGTGGATTCAAACCCCCAACTCTTTTAACATTAATATTAACATTCTCAGCCATAGTAGTTAAAACATCCATAAACCTTGACCAAAAATTCCCTGACATTAAACTTATACAAGTTACTGTCATGTTTTTGGACAAGTGCACAAAGCAGATACATCTGTGGATGAGAAAAACAAGAAAATCCTAATATGTGTCAAAATAAAGAACAACCCTATTGCCCACTTATTGCAAAAAATTACAAGTACTTTATCATTTTGTTTTTTTATTTTATAGATTTTTATGTTATTTACGTTTGCTATTTAATTTTTAAATTGTGTATTATTTTTATTTGCATGTAGTTGTCATATTTCCAAAGTCATATTTATTCTGTCTCAATGTTTCAGTTTTACATCCAGATACTTCAAATTTAGTAATTAACATTTTTTTTTTCCATCGAGCAGTTCCATGATAGTGGATGAAACTCATGAAAGTATGAAATGCTTGAAAAGCACATAAGTTGTTGGTGCTTTCAAATAATAAAATACACTTATCGAAGTAATTTAAGAAAAAAAAAAAAAAAAAAAAAAAAAGGTATGTCAAAACTGTAAGAATGTCCAACAAGTCCAACAACTCTAAAAAATGTGAAAATGTCTCATTAACCCCACAAACAGTCCTGGTGTAGCCTATAACAAAACAGTTAAAGCACGCCATCTGGACAGGTGTATTTTTTATTTATCTGTGTTTGATAATGTTACTTAATTTTAAATATGTTCTGTGTAATATGTTGACTTGTTTCTGCTAATGTTGACCTTAGGAAGTATGAAGAGGATTTTTTTTACATGTTTATCTGTATTATTTTTTGTTTGAGATTGTCATTTGTTCTTTTTTAATCTTTAAATAAAGATTTTTTTTTTTTAATCCTGGTGTTTTTTTTGTTGCTTTGTTTTGTTTATTGAATGTCCAGAGGACCAGACTTAACTTTTTTACATCCTATTATCTATTTCCAGAGACATGGTAACATTTGGAGTATTATTGGAAAACAAAAAAATGAAACTCGGTTGTAATCTGATATTTTGTCTGGCAAAATTCTTTATTCATAAACAGAGAGTGCTAAAATCATCCCCAGTCTTTAACATTTTTTATCTGAATTCCATCTATATTTGAAATCTATGAAATATATTGAAACACATGAAGACCTGTATGAAATGTTAATGGAATTGCCCACTAATGCATGTTATTCCTATTCCTAAAACATATAACCCCTTGCTGTAGTTTATTTTATTCCTTTTTTTCCTCTTTCTTTCTTTCTTTCCTTTTTTTCATATCGAAGTCTGCCTCTGTTATGCCCTTTTTAGAGTTACACTATTGTGAATTGCCATATTAGTTTGTATTTGTTTTTGCTAAATAAAGTTTTCATAAAAAAAAACACTTTTTTACATCCTGGTGAAGCCACGCTCCTCCCCCTCAACCCTTATAGCCAATAGCAGCATGACTTACTCACTGACTCGTCCATTTGTCGAATCCTTTTGACCAATAGTAGCAGCTCTTTCTGAAACACGTATTTTTACCGCTAAAACCAAACGCGTCTTAGTTTTTGCGCTATCGATTTATCTGTATGTGTGGGAGTTAGCTAAATAAAGGTAAGTCTGACTGTTATACATAATTTAGCTAGATTCGTTTAATCGCGTCTTGCGTGTTGTTCAAACGTGATGCTATGAGTTGCTGTACCGACCGTTGTGAGACGAAGTGCTCTTTTGTGTTCCTGTACGAATTTTAACAAAACGTTTAAAAAACGTCGCGTGGTATTAACTCAACTAATAGTCTCTTAAAGGAAGACCGAAGGGCTTTACAAAGCAATTCAGCATTTCTGTGAAATTCGGCGCGGTATGAATTCTCCCGAACCAGGTTTTAAATCCTAATAGTGTGTTTAATTTTGACGAGCACAGCGATTTGTGAATCACTTTACCCTGAAACTGGATGTACGTTTAAAGATGCTAAAATCATTTTCTCGTTTATGTCTGAATCTTCTCAATGATCTACCAGGGGATGGGGTGTTGTTATGAATGATAACAATGATTGTTTTTTTACAGTAGGGATTTTCAACCTGTAGATCAGGTCCAAGGATTATTTTTGTGGGTCTCCACATTCTCAAGGCAGATTGGTCCTAGGTGACAGGCCAGACCAAGAGAGAATCTAAAGCGCCTGGTAACCGGGCCTCTACCCATGGGGCTTGGTCGGACTCAGCCCAAACGAGCCCCATGGGTTTGCCTTCCTGTGTTGGGCCCACTACCTGCAGGAGGGCCCATACGAATCGGGGGCATGGCTCGATTCGTGACTGTGACATCCATCCATTATCTCCCGCTTATTCTGAAGTCAGGTCGCAGGGGCAGCAGCTTGACCAGGGAGACCCAGACATCTCTTTCCACAGCCACCTATTACAGCTCTTCTGGGAGGATTCCAAGGCGTTCCCAGGCCAATCGAGAGACATAGTCTCTCCAGCGTGTCCTGGGTCTTCCCCAGGGTCTACTCCCAGTTGAACATGCCCGAAGCACCTCTCTTGGGAGGCGCCCAGGGGCCATCCTTACCAGATGCCCGAACCACCTGAACTGACTCCTCTCGACATGGAGGAGCAGCGGTTCTACTCCGAGTCTCTCCCAAATAACTGAACTTCTCACCCTGTCTCTAAGGGAGAGTCCAGCTACCCTACGGAGAAAACTCATTTCAACCGCCTGTATCCGACATGAAAAAAAAAATACTCCAATGAGCAGTGGCCGAAGGCGAGGGCTTTGGCGTTCTGACCCTGGTTTACCAAAGCTGGCTCTTGGGACATGGGATGTAACATCTCTGGTGGGGAAGGAGCCTGAGCTTGTGCGTGGGGTTGAGAGGTACAGACTAGATCTAGTGTAGCTCACCTCGACGCACAGCATGAGCTCTGGAACCAATCTCCTTGAGACAGGCTGGACCTTATTTCTCTCTGGAGTTGCCCATGATGAGGTGCAGAGCTGGTGTGGGTCTACTCATAGGCTGTACCCTCCCCTTTTGACTTAGTGCCAGTGTGTAAGAGTTTTCCCTGGTAGATGAGAGGGTAGGTTCCCTTCGCCTTTGGGTGGGGGGACGGGCTCTGACGGTTGTTTGCGCCTATGTGTCGCGCTCTGTGTGAACCTCTGATTAGTATCCAGCCTTCTTGGAGTCCTTGGTGGAGGTGCTGTATTGTGCACCAACTGGGGACTCCTTTATTCTGCTGGAGGACTTCAATGCCCACGTGGGTAATGACAGTGAGACTTGGAGAGGCGTGACTAGGAGGTACAGCCTCTCTGAACCCGAGCAGTGTTCTGTTGTTGGACTTTTTGCTATTCATAGTTTGTCCATCACGAACACCATGTTCGAACATAAGGGTGTCCATAAGTGCACTTGGCTCCAGGACGCCCTAGGTCATAAATCAATGGATGACTTTGTAGCCATGTCATCTGATTTGCGGCCGTTGGTTTTGGACACTCGGGTGAAGAGAGGAGCTGAGCTGTCAGTTGATCACCACCTGATAGTGAGTTTGGTGAGGCCTTGGATAGAGACATTCGGTCATCTCCCATGAGACTGATAAACCATCAGTCCACTGAAGAGGGAAAAACAGTGCTTTACTAACACTGTTCAGTGAAGGTGGGGTGCTGTTGACCTCAGTCAGTGATGTCGTCGGGAGGTGGAAGGAATACTTCTCGGACCTTCTCAATCCCACCTTCTCTTCCATGGAGAAAGTGAAGTCAGGGGACTTTGGTGTTGGTCTGTCCATAACATGACTGAGATCACCGAGGTAGTTTAAAACGCTCCGCAGTTTCATGGTTCTGGATGTTGTGGGACTAGAGCTGTGATTTCTGGCCCGAGCCGGGTTGGGCCAAAATTATGTGCTTTATGGGCTGGTCCGGTCAGGCTCAGGCTTTTGATGCGGTTTTAATTGTGCATGTGGCCCTGCCCGCCCTTTGCTCTTATCACACATCTGAGGATTTGCAATTGGCCCACAACAAGCGACAGGAGCTGGAAAGTATTAAACAAAAGCTAAAAACAGAATAGCTCGCTCAATAAAGCCAGCACAGTGAAACCTGCTGATGTGTGTCAGGTGCACGCTCAGGTCCAACCGGCCGGTTGAAAGAGGTTTTAAAAAAAAAAGTTGTGTTAAGCTTCAGATGGATCATCGGTCGCGCGCGTCCGGCTCTGCACCCTGCTCTTATCTGCGGTGAAGGAAGTTGCAGCATCTACAAAGCCGAAGTGAGCAGCGCTTTCAGTTAAAATAGCCTTTGTCTATATATTTCCAAATAATTTTGCTCTAAAATAGTTTTGTTCATCTGTGTAATAGCCTATCTTTAGAGTTGACTTTTTTTTAGGCTATTCATTTTGCATGTTAATACCCATTTGGTGACTTGCTAATAAAAATAAATCTTATTTTATTTTCGTTACGTTTTTAAAACCATCATGTCAAACTGATTTGTTTACAAAAGCAGTTAAAGCTTAATAAAAATATGTTGTTGTTTTTTTCAGGTTCTGGCCTCTAATTACTCTCTAACATTTCTTCACCATCTATAAAAATGGGAATCTCTGGATTGTTGCAGTTCATCAAAGATGCAGCCGAGCCCGTTAACGTTAAAAAGTATAAAGGCCAGACGGTAGCTGTCGACACGTACTGCTGGCTGCACAAAGGAGCTTTCTCTTGTGCTGAGAAGCTTGCTAAAGGGGAACCAACTGACCAGTGAGAAGTTTGTTTTTAATAAACAAAAACATGCCGAAAATTGTTTTCAGTAATTGCTAATCTGTCTTTCTTCAATGGCTCCTAATTGTGTCCCATTGTGTGTAGGTATGTGCAGTACTGCATGAAGTTTGTGGACATGCTGCTGAATTTTGGCGTGAAAGTCATTCTAGTGTTCGATGGACGCAACCTGCCTTCCAAACAAGAGGTGGAAAGGGCTCGCAGAGAGTGAGTAAAATCCAGCATGGATTAAAATCTTTATTGTGTACAAGTGGAAGAACATACAACTCCTCAGAGTGCAGGACCATCGAAGAACTGGTGTTGAGATCATAATGATCTGGTGTATCCGAAGCTGGTTTTAGCCAGCCTGCTGTGCAACTGTGCTTTGAGTGGCCTATCTTAACTCACAGCTTGTTTTTGTGTGCACAACTCGCAAAACAGTGTCGACTGTACACATGATTTCATTGCTAAAAAATGTTAACATCAACAAATGATCTGAAGGTGTTAAACTTGTACCTTCCCTGTGGTTAAATACCTTCAGGTGAAATGTCAGAGAGAAGAGGGTGTTTTTTTTCCTGTCACAAGAGTTGCACTTCCCTCCTACTCCACCCGTTGCTGCAGGCTGTCAGCTGGATGCTGTCAACTCTTTAAACATTTCCCTATTTTAAAATAGAAAAAGTCAGTCATTTCCAGCAGCTACAATCCCAGATGGACATGTCTTGTCTACTAGAGAACTGACAACTAACACTGAAAATAACACCATTTAGAAAATAACCACTTGCAGCGAGCTGTCAGAGGTTTTCATTCATTCAACCTTTATTAAAACAGGTTAATCCCATTGAGCCTCGGGGACTCATTTACAAGAGAGACCTGAATTTTAACAAAGATTGATGACAGCAGTAGACAACAATAGACAATCATAAAGGATGCGTACAAATTTAATTAAAAAAATTCAACAAGCGAAAATAAAATGGTAATTAAAAGGAAAATAGCAAAAACACAGCTAGGTTGTAAGGCGGTGTAAATAAAATGTTAAAAACAGGAACATGTCTGCATTGGGTTTTTTTTCCAGGAACTTATCAGATGTTTAAAGTCACTTAGAGAGGTCAAGGTCGAGAGCTTCAGATGTTTTTGTAAGATATTCCAGGAAACAGGAGCGGAGTAGGAGAAGGCCCTTTTGTCTAGTTCAGTCCTCACTGAGGGAACACTGCAGGTAATAATGTCCTGAGAGCGCACGCCGAAGCTGCACTCACGCAGAGACATGTAGGAGGAGGTATATGAAGGCAGCAGACAAAGAAGTGATTTAAAGATGAAAATGTACCAGTGAGAGAGTCTGTGTGAAGTTAATGATGACTAGTTAACCAGTGAATACTGGGTGCAGTGGTGGGTACGATAATCACAGCCAGTTATGAATTTTAGTGCACCATGATAGACAGCATCCAACATCTGCAGGGTTCTTGTAGGAGCGTTCATGTAAATAATGTCACCGTAATCAATGGAGGGAAGGAAAGTCACAGATACAAGGTGTTTGCTAGCATTCAGGGTTAGACAGGATCTGTTTCTGAAAAAGAAACAGTTTAATTTTCAGGTTTTTTACTTTGTTTTCCACAAGAAGCTTAAAAGAGAGATGCGAGTTTACCAAGATACCCAAATATTTATAGGAATCAACAAACTCAATAGAATGGTTGTTTGTCTCGTTTGTCTCTATGTGTCCCTGTGATGGACTGGAGACCCGTCCAGGGTGTACCCTGCCCCTCGCACAGTGATTGCTGGACATGGGCACCGGCGACCCCCGTGACCCAAATGGAAGAAGCTGGTAAAAGATGATGGATGGACAAATTCAATAGGAACACCATTTGAGAATAAAATTGGGGTAGCAGCTTGTAGTGAAATAAAGGCTGCTGTAGGCATATCATCCATCCATCATCTTTAACCGCTTCTTCCATTTCAGGTTGCGGGGGTCACTGGTGTCTGTATTCAGCAGTCACTGTTGGAGAGACGGGGGACACCCTGGACAGGTCTTCAGTCCATCACAAGGACACAAGACAAACAACCATTCACTCTCACTCACACCTAGAGACAATTTAAAGTTACCAGTCAGTCCAACATGCATGTTTTTGGTCTGTGGGAGGAGAAGTGGCTTCTTATTAACAGTGAAATGCTTACTTGACTCCTAGCTAGTAACTAACTCTTCATTCAGATCAACTTTGAACCGCTGTAACATTTGAACATGTATTTCTTTCTAAAAATGGCAAAAACAAGTTACATCCTTTCTGCACCTTTTATTTGAATGAGGTGCAACACCTCTCTGTGTTTATTTTATATTTTTGTGTTTAAAAAAAATCACAATGGCTTTTAAAGCAGCCTGGTGTTGCCTGCTCTCTGGTGTTTCAGTTGTTCATAATAAAAACATTCATTTCAATGCTTGTGATGAAATCACAGTTTCAGTTTTGATCTTCAAAATATGAAGAGTTGAGAATAAACGATTTATGGGAAGTGAACGGCGTCATGAGTTCATGAAATATGGTGATTTTAAGCAGTGACTGGCAACACATTCACCTTCATTATGTGTAGCCTACCTGTACATTAGATAAAATTATAAAATACTAGCAATGTCAAATATTTAGGCAGCAGCAGGAGTAGTAGCTGAATTTTAAGAAAAGTGATAATTTCACGCAGCTGCTGTTTTAATATCGTGAAACTGACATTTTTAGTTCTGGTTGTTTCACAGTCAGAACATTGTGCCCCTGCCTTGTTACTTGTTTACAAATGAACTGAATTAGTTTTATCTGAACATGCATAAAAATCCCTCTGACTGCACCCAGAATCACAATTTACCACCACTTCACAAGTTCTCCAGTGGAAGGTGACTCCAATAGCATGAGGGGGCACAACTTTTTCATATTTCTGGCTAACACGCTGATCTGAGGTGAACTGATAAATGGGTCAACCGCAATAATCATGTGTTTTTTTGTTGTGCCTCTTTAAACGGAGACAATAACTGGTTTATTCAAAGGGCAGCATTCCTCAACAGCAACAGAGCAACATTGTTACGTGTGACTTTGCAGAAAGGAATGTAGAAAGCAGCAGATTTCCACTTCATAAACATACCTGAACATGAACAGAGACGACATCCAGAACTCTTTTTCATTATTATTCTTGGCAAAGAAGCAGAGTTGCACCTGTGATTGCTCTCTGCTGCCACATCATTTTTTTAACTGGTACAGGTTATAGAGAGCACATCACGCCAGTTTTGGCCTCCCTGCACTGGCTACCCATTCACCTTCGGATCCATTTCAAAATTCTCATGTATGTTTTTAAATCACTGAACAGTTCCGCCCCATCCTATCTCACTGATCTTCTGCAGCCATATGTCCCACCGCGCTCTCTGAGGTCAGCAGACCAGATGCTTCTCTCAGTCCCAGAAACCCGTCGTAAGCTCAGAGGTGACAGGGCTTTCTCTGTTGCAGGTCCACGACTGTGGAATGAGTTGCCACTGAGTGTCCGGCAGGCTCCCACACTCTCAGTCTTTAAGTCTCGCTTGAAGACCCACTTCTATTCGCTTGCCTTTAACACGGTGTGATTTGTTTTGGTCCGGTCTGTTCTCTACTCTGTTGGCCATTTTAGTTAGCTTCTGCTGCTATTTGTATCTGTATTTCTATTTTATGTTTTCCTGTCCGCTGTGCATGTTTGTGTTCTTTTGTACAGCACTTTGGTTGGCCTTGTTGCTGTTTTAAGTGCTATATAAATAAATTGGTATGGTATGGTATCATCACTGCTCTCACACAACTTAAGGTTGTAAATAAAGTAAGATCATAAATCCTTTTTGTGCAAATGTTTTCTCTGATGTTCTGCCTCTTGTGTGCCTTTTAGGCGCAGAGAAACTAATCTTCAAAAAGGCCGACAGCTGCTGCGTGAAGGTAAACTGTCTGAGGCCCGAGACTGTTTCACCCGCTGTGTGAACATCACCCCCACCATGGCCCACAACCTGATTAAGGTGAGGATCACTTTGATCTGCAGTCTGGCTTGAATAACCTCATTCAGCCTGTGTAAAGAAATAAAAGGACAATATTAAATTTTTGACAATTTATGAATTGTTGATGTTGTATCATTGACCAACGTCAATGCTACATCAACATTTTGACAAAGCCGTTTGTGTACTTTGGTTAAATATAGTTGAAGTTTGTTTCTGTTGTACATTTAAAATAACCATATTTGACCAAAGGGATTTATGAGGTATAGGATCAATCTATCAGTGATAAAATGAGCTCAACTAAAACCAAATTTAAAGCATATAAATAGATCAATTATTCGGACACAATCAAATCGGTCAATTCTGCTCATGCAACTTAACGCCAGTGAACTTTTTAAATAAAGCAGTAATATGAACTGATCATTGTCTGAGTTGCTTCACTTGTAGTTTGTTACACAGCGTTGGGACCCCACCAGAAACACTGTCACTTCTGGTTTTAAGTCTTTATTGTTTAGAAGTATAGAAAGATAAAGAGGTACCATAATGTTAAAACTCTTAAGAACAAGGTGTAAAAATGTAAACCAGATCTTGAAAATGTGAGTGTAAGTGTGATACAATTACTCTTTCTTTCCTGTCACATGTTGAGCTGCGATTTGAACAGGACCTTAATGTCTGGTCTAAACTATGACAGTTATCCACACGAGAAGTAAATAAGACATTATTGTCTCAAAATTATCTAAAGAAATCAAAATAGTCCATGCTCAATAATCCAGGTGCACAATCCAAACTTTTTCAGTCAGGTCATCTGGACAGTTTCTTTTTTTTTTTTTTTTGTGCTGAAACGTTTCACCTTCCATCCAGAAGGCTTCATCAGTCAAGGAAACACAGCACAAAACTGATTCTTCCCCCAAACAGCTTACTCCAAAGTGGAACAAGCCAGTTATGTTGGTGCTAAGATGGTCTCTTTGGCACGCCCCCTCCTCCGATGCCAGCCCTCTTCCTCATCGACAGTCATGTCAAAATGGTTCAAAACCAAAATAGTCCATGCTCAATAATCCAGGTATACAAACCAACAATTTTCAGTCAGGTCATCTGGACCTTAATAAATATCTAAATAAATGTTGACCTTAACTTGTTCTGACGTCTTAACTGGATTAGCATCTTTAAGTAATGAGTTGATCTGTTTCTCAAATTTAACAGCGAATTCAAGAACCACACCAAATGCTAATGCAAACAGGTGATGATGAGAATTTACTGGATCAAAATCACCCTCATAACCATTTAAATTAGTTTGTCTAAATAAAATTACTGTTTTATTTTAATTTAGTTTGAGAACATAATCTATGTTTAAACATCTCTAAGGCTATAACAAAGACAATTAAAAACAATGAAAGGCGATTGCATACTTTCTGAAGACACCTGAAGCACATATAATGAAAAAAATAAATAATGGGGCCTAAAACAAAGACTTGAGGAACTCCACAATTAGAAACGTTTGAAGAATCCTTATCTTAATTAGACTAAACTTCTTTCTGACAAGATGAGTGGAAACATTTAAGAGCTGCATGTTTAAAACCAACAAGAGTGCAGATGTGAGAGGAGAATGCTTTAATTGTAAAAATGGCTGCTGTTAAATTAAACGGAGCCAGGACAGGAGATTTACCAGAGATGATGGAGGTGAATAATTAAAAACCTGCTTTTTCTTTCAAAAATTTTAATCTTTCCACATAAACAGCAAATCAGCCCCTGCCGTGAGATCAACGTTATAATGTGAATTATTTGTGTTCTTGTTTGAATCAGGCTGCCCGGGACAGAGGCGTGGACTGTGTGGTGGCTCCTTATGAAGCGGATGCTCAGTTGGCGTACCTGACTAAATCTGGTCTGGCTCAGGCTGTCATCACTGAAGACTCGGACCTGCTGGCATTTGGCTGCAAAACGGTACCTCAGACATGAACTGCAGAGGAATATGAACAGTACCGTATATATACAGCTGTCGCTGTACAATGGTCTGAATGACTGGGAGGGTGATACTGCAGACTGGTAACATTCAGACAACTTTTTATGAGCACTCCAGGTTTTGAACAAGAAAAAAGCCTAATACAAATAATTCAAACGTCATTTACAGTAACTAAGCAGAGCTGATGGGGGTTTGGCAGACATTAAAATTTGACCCAGGCAGAATTTGAGGACTGGGAAAGAGGAGTCCGTTCCCATGGCAGAGGTGATAAAAGCAGTCGAGCTTTGATGGCAGAGTGCGCAGGATTCGCTCTGAGACGCTGAAGGCTCTGGACATTGTGGGGCTGTCACGGCTGACACGTCTTCTATTGTAATATCTCTGATTCAGGAGGAGCATTGGGGCTTCCATCCTGGTTGTGGAACAGTGGACCAGATGTTCACTCTTGCAGGGTTGCTAAGAGTGCCTTGGAGTTTGACAACCAGTCTACGTGCCTTTTCTGAACCTGGAGAGGCTTATGACTGTTTCTCGAGGCATTCTGTGGGGGTTGCTGCAGCAGTATGGGATGCCAGGTTGTTTTTAAGGCCGATCCGATCTCTAACGAATTCAGGAGCTGTGCTCTTGGCACAAAGACGAGCTCGTTCTCGGTGCATGTTGGACTTTGCCAGGGTTTGTCTCTTGTCTTTGATCCTGTTTGTGATGTTCAGGATCTCAAGGTGCAGGTGTGGAGAGGAGGGTGTCTGGTTTGGGAACCTCAGAGTCTCATCTCTGCTTTATACAACTAATGTGGTTCCATTGGCATCTTCAGGCCTGATCTTTGCGTGTACTGAGGAGGTTCACAGCCGAGTGTGAAGCAGCTGGGATGAGAGCTCTGAGCTTCTCCAAGTCCTAGGCCAGGGGTATTCAACTAAAACTCACTGAGGTCCACTTACTAAAATGTCCTCCTAGTAAAAGGTCCAAACAAACGTCCAACATTTGACTTTTATGGTCTTGTCTACGCTTATTCACATTTTCACTGCACAACTAACTCTTTTACCATATTTAAAAGTAGTCCCAGACAAATAAATGTAGGGCCTTTATTTCACATTAAAACAGAAAGCTCAGAGTAAAATACATCTTAAATGTGCAAACAGAGCCTAATAAGCCTTTTTCTCTTAAACTGAACCGGTCCAAGCCTAAAGAACTGAAGACTTACACATAAAGTAAAAAAGTTAACATCTTTAGAAAACAATTTAAAAAGTGGCTCTTTTAGTATAAAAAGTGTAAACGGAGCAAGTAAAGATTTTTCTTTTTTTTTTTTCTTAAAGAGGCACCAACCTATAAAAATGTAAGTTTTCAAGTAAAACACGTCGTCATCTTCAGAAAGCAATAACTAAAAATGTCTCTTTTAGGAAAAAACTGAAAACAGAACATTTAACACCTTTTCTCTTTTGATTATTATTTATTTGACTTTTCTTAATGAGAGACATGGACATGGGATTGTCCTGCCACTAAATTAAACCTTGGATGGAGTCGGAGCCGTTCTCATGTAGGAAGCTGAGCATCATCAGTAACATCTGTAGACTCATCGATGACTCTGAACAGCTGCATGCAGCTGTGCCAGCACATCTGCCAATATTTCTGATGTTCTGCTTGATGTTGAAGCTGACATCAGGATTTGTTTGATTGTTTCACACATCTTGTCTTTTAGTTTTCCTTCAAATGTCTCAGCAACAACATTTAAGCACTCCTTCACGACTGTCCCGTCACTAATTTATTTATGTTGCCCCAAAATCCACGATACCTTGAGTGAACATTGAGCCGCTGCTGGGCTGTAAAGTATTTGTGATGAGGAGAGTGGATCTGTCATACTGGGCTTCCAGTTCAGTTAATTTACTGCTCTCTGCTCGACTCCAGCAGGTAACGTTGCTCAAAAGAGATGAAGAGCGCTTCACGTTGCCACTTTAAATTAATGCGACCGTTTCAGAGCAAATGAGGCAAACAGGTTTTGAACTGCCTGCTGGAAGAATGAACATTAATTTCTCTGTCCATTCATCTTCCAAACAGTTTTCAGCAGCAACTTTTCTTAAGGAGCACGACGTGCTGTCTCTTCCTCTCTGTTCCTTCTCAACTCTTCTCTGATGAGAGCTCACGGCACCATGCAGGGAAAACTAAAGATTTGATTGGCTCATTAACCGAGTGACGCTATAACTGCAACACCTGAAGTAGAGTGAACCTCCAGAACACACCTCCTGTGTCTCTGCTTGGCATCTAAGCTGTCTATCTCTGGAAAAATGCTCCATGAAAATCTATTTTCCTGAATTTATTGGGCAGAGGTCCGGACAGAACCATATCCGGACCCAGGTCCGCTTAGACCTAGGTCCTAGGCCATGGTTCTCAAACAAAAATGGGTGAAATGCCTCTCTAGATCGGGAATGATTCTTTGCTTAAGGTGGAAGAGTTCAAGTATTTGAACGTCATGGGATGAGTGATGGTAGGATGAAGTGGGAGATGTATCGACAGATGGGAGAATGTGATGAAGTGAAAACTCAAAGCAAGCTGTTGGCTCCTTAGATAAATAACATTAACTGGTTTGTGAATGTGGTATGTGAATGTTTCTGTTCAGTGTCCTGAGACGACTTCTGTTGTGACTTGGCTCTATAGAAATAAACTGAATTGAATTGGGGCCTTGTCCTCAGTAATGAGGGTATTGCTTCTGTCTGTCAAGGTCAAGAAAGAGTTGAGCCAAAAGGCAAAGCTCTTGATTTACTGGTCGGTCTATGTTCCAACCCTCACTTATGCTCATGAGGTTTGGATCATGACCAAAAGAACAAGATTCTGGATACAAGTAGCTAAAATGGGCTTCCTTTGCAGGGTGGCCGGACTCAGCTTAGAGATACGGCGAAGAGCTCCTTCACCTGACAGGAGCCTGAGTCGAGCTTGCTCTTTTGCAACAAAAGAAGTTAATTTAAATGGCTCAGTCACATGATGCCTACAGGATGCCTTCCTTTAGAGGCTTTCTGGCCACAAGCCCACTGGGAAGAGACCCCAGGGCAGACCCAGAACATGTTGGAGGGATCATATACCTTTTCTGACCTGTGGACACCCCGGGATCCCCCAGAACGAGCTGAAGAGTGTTGCTGGAAGAGTGAAGTCTGGAGACAGGAGAACTCAATGTTTTCTACAATTATTTTGTAGGTGATTCTCAAAATGGACAAGCAGGGCAATGGGCTGGAAGTAGACCAGAGCAACATGGGCCGCTGTCGCTCCCTGGGCAACGTTTTCACTGAGGAGAAGTTTCGTTACATGTGCATCTTGGCCGGCTGTGACTATCTGCCCTCCCTACACGGCATCGGCTTGGGGAAGGCCTGCAAGCTGCTGCGGCTGGCCAAAGACCCCGACATCCTGAAGGTGAGTGCAGCTCTTTGATCATTAGGACAGTAACTACCTGAGGGAGGGACTTTAGACTGCTTCTCCTAAACTCAGTGACAGACTCACAAAGAGGAAGCAGATTGTCTTCTGCTCCAAATGACAAAGCAATTTTTCTGCAATCAGTTTTGCTTTCTTGGTTTTGCTGAAGCTCCTTGTTTGTTCAGACAGAAGAATCTGTCCTGATGACATGATTTAACTATTATGATTTATTTACCTGGAAGCTTGAGCTTACAAACCTTTTTTCCTTGTTTGTTCATCATTTGTGAGTTTCCACTGTGGACTCTGCTGAGTATTTAATACAGTTCTAATCCTTCACAGCTTCCATGTCTCTAAATGTTTTCATTACACACATTAGGTCTGTGTACAGAACATGTCTATAAAATATAATCTACAGACTCGCTGTGCAGCAGGTTTAGAAGAAAAGCTCCAAATCTTTATCTAAAGTTTAATCTTGCAAACATCCATTATCTTTTACCCGCTTCTTCCATTTTGGGTCACGGGGGTCCCCGGTGCCCATGTCCAGCAATCACTGTGCGAGGGGCGGGGGACACCCTGGACAGGTCACAAGTCCATCAGAGGGACACATCGAGACAAACGAGACAAACAACCATTCACTTTCTCACTCGCATCTAGAGACAACTTGGTTACCAATCAGTCTAACATGCATGTTTTTTTGGTCTGTGGGAGGAAACTGGAGTACCTGGAAACCCACGCATGCACAGAGAGAACATGCAAACTCCACCCAGAAAGGCCCCTGGACCGGGATTTGAACCAGGGACCTGCGCGCTGAGAGGCAGCAGCTCTACCAGTTGTGCCACCGTTCTGCCATCTTGCAAACAAACAAATGTATTTATATGTATAAAATTACAGAATGTAGTTTAATATCTAAGTGTGTAACAGCATTTGATCTGGATGACTTGATCATGTGAGCAGCTGGTTTTGGTTGTCTGCAGCAAACTGGTTGATCCACTCTGAGAAGGTGCTATTTACAGTGCCTTGTGAAAATATTCGTCCCCCTCGAACTTTTCAAACTTTTGCCACATTTCAGGCTTCAAACATCCATCCATTATCTTTACCCGTTTATTCCATTTTGGGTCACGGGGGTCGCCGGTGCCCATGTCCAGCAATCACTGTGCGAGGGGCGAGGTACACCCTGGACTGGTCGCAAGTCCATCACAGGGCCACATAGAGACAAACGAGACAACCAACCTCTCACTCACACCTAGGGACAATTTAGAGTTACCAATCAGCCTAACATACATGTTTTTGGTCTGTGGGAGGAAACTGGAGTACCTGCAGAAAACCCACGCATGCACGGAGAGAACATGCAAACTCCACCCAGAAAGGCCCCTGGACCAGGGTTTGAACCAAGGACCTGCTCGCTGAGAGGCAGCAGCTCTACCAGTTGCGCCACCGTGCTGCCCGGCTTCAAACATAAAGAAATAAAATTTAAATTTTTTTGTGAAGAATCAACAAGTGGGACACAATCGTGAAGTGGAATGAAATTTATTGGATGTGTCAAACTTTTTTAACAAATAAAAAACTGAAAAGTGGGGCGTGCAATATTATTCGTCCCCGTTGCGTTAATACTTTGTAGCGCCGCCTTTTGCTGCAATTCCAGCTGCAAGTCTCTTGGGGTATGTCTCTATCAGTTTTGCACATGGAGAGACTGAAATTCTTGCCCATTCTTCCTGCAAAACAGCTCGAGCTCAGTGAGGTTGGATGGAGAACGTTTGTGAACAGCAGTCTTCAGCTCTTTCCACAGATTCTCGATTGGATTCAGGTCTGGACTTTGACCTGGATATGTTTATTTGTGAACCATTCCATTGTAGATTTGTCTTTTTGTTTTGGATCATTGTCTTGTTGGAAGATAAATCTCTGTCCCAGTCTCGGGTCTCTTGCAGACTCAAACAGGTTTTCTTCCAGAATGGTCCTGTATTTTGCCCCATCCATCTTCCCATTAATTCTGACCATCTTCCCTGTCCCTGCTGACGAAAAGCAGGCCCAAACCATGATGCTGCCACCACCATGTTTGACAGTGGGGATGGTGTGTTCAGGGTGATGAGCTGTGTTGCTTTTACACCAAACATATCGTTTTGCATTGTGGCCAAACAGTTGGATTTTGGTTTCATGTGACCAGAGCACCTTCTTCCACATGTTTGGTGTGTCTCCCAGGTGTTTGTGGCAAACTTTAAACAACACTTTTTATGGATATCTTTGAGAAATGGCTTTCTTCTTGCCACTCTTCCATAAAGGCCAGATTTGTGCAGTGTACGACTGATTGTTGTTCTATGGACAGACTCTCCCACCTCAGCTGTAGATCTCTGCAGTTCATCCAGAGTGATCATGGGCCTCTTGGCTGCATCTCTGATCAGTCTTCTCCTTGTTGGAGATGAAAGTTTAGAGGGACGGCCGGGTCTTGGTAGATTTGCAGAGGTCTGATACTCCTTCCATTTCAATATGATTGCTTGCACAGTGCTCCTTGGGATGTTTAAAGCTTGGGAAATCTTTTTGTATCCAAATCCGGCTTTAAACTTCTCCACAACAGTATCTCGGACCTTTCTGGTGTGTTCCTTGGTCTTCATGATGCTCTCTGTGCTTTGAACAGAACTCTGAGACTATCACAGAGCAGGTGCATTTATATGGAGACTTGATTACACACAGGTGGATTCTATTTATCATCATCAGTCATTTGGGACAACATTGGATCATTCATAGATCCTCACTGAACTTCTGGATGAGTTTGCTGCACTGAAAGTAAAGGGGCCCAATAATATTGCACGCTCCACTTTTCAGTTTTTTATTTGTTAACAAAGTTTGACACATCCAATAAATTTCATTCCACTTCACGATTGTGCCCCACTTATTGTTGATTCTACACAAAAAATTTAAATTTTACATCTTTATGTTTGAAGCCTGAAATGTGTCAAAAGGTTGAAAAGTTTGAGGGGGCCGAATACTTTCGCAAGGCACTGTATAAGACTGAGCTGAATACAGCACCTCAGACTGAAGAAGTCTTTCGGACGAAAGACGAAACGTTTCTACTTTTTTTGTTTGTTTGTTTGTTTTGCTTTGTTTTTTGAATGTCCAGAGGATCAGACTTAACTTTTTTTTAGATATAGTGGACTGGGTTTGTCCCAACTAGACTGGATTGACAAGCTAACATCTAGTCCAAGTAGGACCAGGAACACAATGAACTGCTGCTGCCTTAAAAGACCTCCAGTCTCTAGAATGTCAGTGATTCATGTAAAGTCCATTTTTAAAACTTTAAACCGTTATTTGTTTTATAATATTACTGCTAGAAGTGTCAGGCTCCTCTAGAACTGCCACAGCTAGCTGCTGCTGTGACTTGTGCTTTTAAATAGCCATAGGATTTGATATAAATATAACTGTTTTGAGCAACCGATGGGAGTCTAAAGTTTGGAAAATGGCCTTTACATGAACCACTTCTTATTTTTACATAACAGCTTTGCAAGAAATAGCCAAAATATTCCTAAAAATCCCTTCTGTGTTTGATGATATTCAATCTGTTTTATGATGTGGAAATATACTGTACTATAAACATAAGGGAGTGGTGGTGCAGAGGTTAGAGAAGGTGGGCCTGTGATCAGAAGGTTGTCAGTTCGACTCCCCAGACTGACAACGTCAAAGTGTGGGTGTAAAAGGTGAAACACCCACACCTGGCTCCACCCTCATTTGTCCCACTCTGGGCCCTTGAGCAAGGCCCTTAACCCCCACCATCTGCTCCTACAAATAGGTCTCTTTAAAATGATTCCTCGTGACTCAGTGAGACTGCCTGTATAAATAAATAAATAAAACAAAAAAATATATATTTTTGTTGGCTAATAAAGAGAATGTTAATGCATAACCAGCCACCAGAGGGCAGTGTAAGCCCGTGGAAAGTTGCAGTATTGTGCTGTGCTTTTAAGCACCTTAACAAATGCCCTGACTTCTCATTTGTTACTAATTATTTGTTAATGATTATGATGATGAAGACATAATAATTTTAAAATACTCTTATAAGTGGATTACTGTGTTCCTCCTTCCTGCTCCTCTCAAACCCAGCTGGTCGAAGCAGATGGCCAATCGTCCTGAGCCTGGTTCTGCTGCAGCTTTCTTCAGAGTCAGAGTTTCTTTACTTGTTGTTCGCGCCACATGTGGTACATGTGGTAGAACCAGACTGTGTACACAGGGTCCAAGTTACATCCAGCAAAAGTATAAATTGTGAAGAAAAACAGTAATAAGATCTAAGATATGAACTAAGAAAAAGGTTCAACTAAAAATGCACTAAGCACTAGTAGTATAAAAACATTACACCGAGCAGCAGCACCTATTAAAAGGGGTTTTTTCCTTTCCACTGTTGCCTTTGTGCTCGCTCAGGATGGGAGACTGTGATGAAGTGAAGATTCAACACAATCTGCTGCTTCCTTAGACACATAACTTTACTTATTGGCTTTTTTATGTATATGAATGTTTCTGTTCAGTGCCCTGAGACGACTTCTGTTATGACTTGGTGTTTCATTATATAAATAAACTGAAAATAAAAACTCTTTAAATTATCTCTTTGAGAGGAGGTGATTCCATTTCTGGAATCTATGCCTGAAAATAACCTTTTACTGATATTTTAAATGAAAGTTAGATCAGAGTACACTTTATCCTCACACTGACAACCAAGTTCATGCTCAGTCATCCAGGTATCAAATCCAATAATTCTCAGTCAGGTCATCTGGACACTTTGACCCCATTCAAGGCTGTAACGTACATGTAATCTAGCTTTGCTTCTGTGTCGCACTGTTTATTGTGTGCTCCTCTGTCCTCGTTCTCAGGTGATCAGAAAGATGGGTCAGTACCTGAAAACAAATCTGATCATCCCTGAACAGTACATCGAGGGGTTTGTCAGAGCCAACAACACCTTCCTGTACCAGCTGGTGTTCGATCCTGTCAGGAGGAAAGTGGTTCCATTAAACCCGTACCCAGAGCACATAGATCCAGCCACCCTCAGCTATGCTGGCCTGTATCCTCCTGTTCCTCATCACAACACCTGCAGAGTCACTTTCAGCTGTGATTTGCTCATGGTAAGCTGTACATTCCTCTCAGCTGCATGTACATTACTTGGTCCTTGATGGCAGTGAATTCAGAAATCTAGAAGAGGACAAAGGTTTGGAAATGGCCTTGGGAAACCTTGATGTCAACACTTTGGAGAGGATTGACAACTTCAATCCAGACAAACCCAACGTACAGGTATTGCATCGCATTCAGCAGAAATGAACTGTCGCAGACCAAAAATATACAGCTGAGTGAATGTTTCCAGAGGTGTAAGGCTCGCAGTAACAGCTGGAACGACTCGCCAACCTCAGCTGGGTCCAGCATTTGGAGCAGGGGCTTCACACCTGCCTCTGGTGGCTCTTCTCCTCGCCCTGCTGCTTCTCCAGACCGGCCTCCCTCCACCAGGGGAAGGGAGGGGGTCGTCAGCCTGGGGGGCCTGAAGCTGCCCTCCAGAGAGCTACAGGTGAAAAGGCCCAGAGAAGGTGAGCTCAGTGCTGGTTTGTAAACCAGGTCCATGTGACTTAAAATATTAATGTGAGACAAGACTCATTCATTTAAATGTTTTCAGTCTGATCTTTTCATGATTCAACAAAACTCATCCTCACTTTTAGTTCTCAGCCTGAACACAGACGTAGCATTCTTTAAAGAAACGAACATCTCCACTTTTAACTTAAGGGTTATAGCTGTTTGGTCAAACCTTGAAAATAGCAATAGGTGCAATGTCATACACTAGTGTGAGGTCACACAAACGCCTCACACACAGGGACAGCTGTGGTTGAGTGGTTAGAGCAGTTGTCCTCCAATCGGAGAGTTGGAGGTTTGATTCCACCAGCAGTCACATGTCGAAGTGTCCCTGGGCAAGACACTGAACCCCTCATAGCCTCTGATGTGTGTCCCATCAGTGGATGAATGTGATAAAACACTGATTAGTCTCTTTAGAATGATTTGATCAATTATCTTTGTAGAGATCTAGTAGAGTGCTGTATGAATGGCTCAGTGAGGCACAGATTGTGTTGTAAAGAGCTTTGATCAGATAGAAAGGTGCTGTACAAGTACAGTCCATTTACAAACTGCACTTTGAGTAAGTGTTGGAGATGGTGCTCAACTACGACCTCACCAGTAACAAGGTTCATAGGGACGAATGAAGTCAACCTCATATCGGATGATTTATTTGACATTATTAGTGCAAACAGGATTTTCATCATGTGAGCACGGCCAATAAAAACTCACTGATGTAACAAGCACCAGGTGGGACAAGATGCCACCAAATTACAGTCTTACAAAATCCATCTTGCACAAGAAAACATCTGTAAGGATCCATCACTCCTCACATGTACAGTTTCTAAACACGTTTGATCAGTTAAAATGATTTTGTCCTCATCTGGCCTAAAAACATTCTCATATTTATACTGACTATTAGATCACAGTGTCTTTATGTGAAATTACTGAGACTAGTTCATGAAACTGTTCTGAAAAATGATCTGGTCTTCCAGCCAGAAACACTTTTTTAGATAGATGGTTGTAGCTGCCTGTAGATTTAAACGTTTTCTGTCACTCAGCTTTTGGAAATGAAAACATTAACTTTAAAACATTTACATATAAAAATACTTCTGTCAGAAACATCAAAAAAGTTTCTTTTTGTAACTTTATGAGATAAGGACAAAAATACGAAGGGAGACAAAGGAATGATAGATCATAGACGACGAGCTCCTTGGTCCAAGTTTGGATTCAGACAAAGTAAATAACAAGTCCTAAACTTGTTTACTTGTTTAGCTGAACTCGTTTGTCTCTGTCAGATTCTTGTTTATCTGACCAGGAAGTCCTCCAGCTGTATTCCTCTCCTGGACAGAAGCGATCCAAATCAGAACAGCAACCACACAAGACTCCACTCAGGCCTCAGCCCCGACCACGCAACCGCTTCGCCACACTGCTGCAGAGGAGGAACCAGGAGACAGAGGAGGAGGCCGGCCATCTCACCCGCAGCAGGTGATGTCATTGGGGCTGTGGGGGGGGGGAGTGGGGGGCTGCAAAGTAAGCTGTCCTGCATTAAACTTGTTTTCTGATGTTTGTTCTGTGCTCAGATTCTTCAGTGGCTCCAGTTCAGTAACCAGTCTGAGCACGGAGTCCAACCAGGAGGTAGAGCCCACAGCTGGTGACCCTTCTGAGGACAAATCCTCTCTCAGCATCCACACTCATGACATCCCGCCTGAGGTAACTCCTAGTCCACCTCTGTCCTCCAGCAGCTCGTCCCCCAGTTCAGCCAGTCGGGGTTTCAAGCTGTTCCAGTGGTCAGGAGGCTCCTCTTCAGCCGAACCCTCCAGTACAACAAAGTCCACCATGGGCCTGGGCGCCCTGCAGCAGTTTCAGTACAAGAAGGAGAGTTTTACATCTCAGAAGATCCACAGCGCCTCTGGAGGCTCAACGCCCCCACAGTCCTCATCTCCTGATAAAAATCTGGAGGACGAACTCTCTGACTCACCCCCCTCCCAGGACAGCGCTTACTTCTCCCACTCCCAGTCCTCGCGCATTTCCTTCCACAAAGAGGAATCTCTCACCTACAGCCTGGAGGATGCTGCATCTGTACGTTCACAGGGAACTCCACCTTCAGATGTTTAGCAAGTCGTTACTTGAGGGAGGTGCTCAGGTCTGAAGCCACAGCTCATCTCTTCATCTGTTAAAGCCGTCCTGATCACAGTGATTGTACACTTGGGTTGATTTTTCACTCATCTTCTGTCCTAAAAGTCTCAACGACTCAAGAAGTGAGCCAGTCTTGTGTCAACATTTAAAAAACACATGAATTTTATATTTACATACTTTTTAACAAGACCTAGAATAAAAACTTATTTTTTCATAAACTCTGGAAAAAATCCAACATTAGCAAAGTTTAGTTTGTCAATTTGTATTTTGCCTCCAACAAAGTGAAACCCTGACACTGAGTAAACGATCAGGTCTGACTTTCATGTTTTGTTGGAGACTCTTGGAGGTCTGAAACTTTCTTTTCTTTCTTCCACTTGACCATGAAGTCGAGCCGTGCAGGACAGAAAGAAATGAGGCGATGGCTGAAGACTTTTGCACAGTATTATCCCTCACGCTGTTTGTACACAACAATGCACTTCTAATGCTGCTTTAAATGCATGTGTATTTCATTTGTTCTTCAGGAAATGAACTCAAGCACTGAAGTAGAACCAGAACCAGAGAGTCACGTTTGTTCAGCAGAAGCAGAAAGGAAAGCTGCTGTGCTGGGGTCAAAGGTCAGGTTACGTTTAAGTTGCATCCAATAGTTTCTTCCTTTTCTAACACAGTAATAAAATGCCCTTAGGTCCTGGTGAATGTTTTGTCTGTAGTCCAGCAGTGTTAAAGTGAGCCAGGTCACTGAAAGCCCTCTGTAGATCCTTCAGCTTGTTGAGTTCAAACAGAAAATGTAACAAAAGCTCAAGCAAACCACATAAAACTGTTTCATTGTTAAATACAAACCACATAAAACTGTTTCATTGTTAAATACAAACCACATAAAACTGTTTCATTCTTAAATACAAACCACATAAAACTGTTTCATTGTTAAATACAAACCACATAAAACTGTTTCATTGTTAAATACAAACCACATAAAACTGTTTCGTACTTAAATACAAACCCGTCACCTTCAGGACAGCAAGCTGCGACTTGGAGTGGGTTGAAAATGTCTTGATATTATTTCAGCTTTGTTGCTCTGCAGCCCTGAGTTTAAGTGGATTTCTAAATTGATTAGAAGTGAATTAATGAAGTTAAATGAGAGCACATTGTTTAATGAAACTGGAATGGGTAATTAAAGTCTATCAAAGAGAAAAGCAGTGTGAGCATGTGTCTCTTTGGCTTGTTACCCTCAGAGACCACATGATGGGTTAATCATCCACCTGTGAGCAATCTGTCAAAAGATCTCAGTATTTTCTGACAGCCCCCAGAATCAACATTTACACTGAAAGTCTACCACTAGGAGACAGCATGAAGACCAAGGAACTCTCCAAACAAGTCGGAGACGAAGTTGTTGAGAAGTTTAGATAAGGACATCATGTAACCTACCGGTAACTCCTGGAGGAAATGTGTAACAGGTTTTAGTTTAAATGATCTTCTTCTGGGTGGGTTTGTTGAAAAACACCCTGTGATGTCCTCAAAACCACTAAGAAACTCAACAAAACTATTACTTTGTGTTTTCTATAGCAATGGGACGAAATTCTAACAAAAAAATGAACTCGAGTCAGAGTTTTGTGGATTTAGATTTCTACTGTGACTGTTTTGAAGTGGGGCAGAGCTGCCCGTCTCCTCTGTGTTTGAAACTTTTCTGCACTCGTTGCTCCGGTGTCTAGGTTTCAGGACTGTCGAGGGTGAAGTCCAGCAGTGGGAGTCCAACAGCCACGGTGCGGTCTTTGGGTCCAGCCAGAGCCAGCGGTCTGAGGAAGAAGAGTGTTGGTTCTGTGAAGAAATGCTCGTCTACAAATAATGAGAACAACCCTGGAGTCCAGGCCACCATCAGCAGCCTGTGGAAGAACTACAGCTTCAAAACGTAAGAATATTTTTATTTGTTTTATAATATACTATAAAATGGAAACTTTTCTTCACTTTATTAATATGGAAATGCTTCACTGATGTGTGTTCCTTTTGACAGAAGGTCCAACAACTGGTGATGTGACCAATTATTGGCTTTCAAGAGCTTTACAAAGAGTTGGTTCATCATTTTTGAAACTAAAAACGCAGCCAGTGTACCACAGTACCAGCTAATCTACCTACTGTATTTATCGCTGTATAAGTCATAGTTTTTTGCATACATATGCATGCCTGTAACTTATACCTCGAAGCGACATATTTATGTTTTTTCCTCATATTTATAACTCAGTTTTTGACAGATCTGACAATTTCATTCATTCTGACTGAAAATATTAAACACTAACATTTTCAGCCACTAGAGCAACAAAATGCAGCTGATTTGACCATTAAAGTGCATTTATTAAGGAAAAGTTCAACTGAGACACACCTTTACTATAATGCTGAGCAAACAAATAATCGTTTTAGGTGGTTATCTTGTTAAATTTCGAAGAAATGCACAGCGAGTCCTCCCTTTGCACGCTCCTGCAAATTGGCTTTTGAAATGCAGCTGATTTAACTATCAAAATGCATTTATTAAGGACAAGTTAGACTGAGACACACTTGTGCTATAATGTCGAGCAAACAAACAATTGTTTTTAAGTTAATTTTGTTAAATTCTTGTTAAAGTCCTCCCGTGCACACACCTGCAGCCGCCATTTGGCAGCCAATCGAGTTTTGACACAACACCGGCCCACATTTCCAGGCTGTCAACGATGACGCGTAACAAACGTGACGCGTAACAAACGTGACGCGTCATCGCTGACACATAATACATGCAACTAATATGGTGAAGCGACTTTTTTTTTTTTCCACTTTATTAGACAGATTTGGACAGTTGCAACTTATAGAGCGGTGCAATGTGTACGGCAGCAGTTAGGAGTCTCAGTGCATAAGCACTGAAGTACTTTAATACTATTTGTCCATTGTCCCATTTTTAACAGGATTTCTTTTCTTTATTTTATTTATTGATAACTGCTTCTGTAGCTTTAGAAAAAAACAAACACAAAATACATCAAAATATGCAGCTAGACTGAGAATACCACACTGTGCTCTTTTGTAGCAGTGCATCCTTTGGACTAAGTGAAATTTTAAAATATGAATAAAAACAGAATTTTCACATAAAAAAATTGTAATTAGACTAAATAAATGAGGAAACCCAGCCCTCTTTGGAGCTCTAAAGCTGAGGGGTATTAAAAAAAACAAAAACTTGTTAAAATAAAAATTTACATAATGTTTTTTGTGGTAAAACGTTCATTTCTTTGCTTTTATTATTGTTGATCTTTTTTCCAGGGACGCTCAGAAGATGACTTCCCGTAAGACGGAGCCCATGTCTCCATTCAAAGACAACCTGCTGGTCCACTGACCTCATCCAGCATGAACCTTCTGACCATGTCTGAGATTACCTTAAAAGTTTCACATTATGTTGGGTGCTCCGGGGAGAAGCTAAGCTTTTAAACATACCGTGTATGTTAATCAACTTCTGTTTCTTACTGTAGAGATTTGAATAAAACAAGGGTTTTAGAAATTCAAGAATATTTTATCTGGTCTTGAATTTTCTTACTGTGAACACTCGTATCATGTAAGCTTTAAGGCTCCTGTTGTCACTCAACTAAACATGAGTCATTCGAGAGTTACTGCAAAAATGTGTGTGTGTTTGGGGGGGTGGTGGTTCAGAATGCCCTACCTGCAAGTAATTTAAGGTATGTTATCTTGTGATAAAACTGAAGTTCCTTCAGAACAATGTAGAGTGTGAACATGAGCTTCGAGTTAATCAGAATGAATCTTCTCACTTCACAGCTGATGTCAGCTTCATCAAAGCTTTTATGTGTAAATTAAAAACAAAATAAAACTAATTTTTTCATTGCCTGAGCCCATTTGAAGAACGCTGTAGTGCCCATAGTAGGAATGAACACGGATCAAACTGTCCACTCTGAGAAAGTCCTTCACCTCGGTGTGGTGGGGGTGTAAGCATCAAGTGGTCTCATTTGATCAGGATGTTCACTACAGACTAAAATTAGGATGAAAAAATAATGCTCTGTCCAGACTACAAATATTCTAGAGCAGGGGTGTCAAACTCACTTACAAAAGGGGGGCCAAAATAAAACCTTTTTCAAAGTAAGGGCCAATTTCAGAAGTTGCATTAAGTCAAGTTAGATAGCATCTTTTCTTGGTTGCAGGTTCCTCGACAAGCGTTTGATTGGTCTCATTTGCCGTTCTCTGTTGCACTTTTGACATCGTAATCAAAGATTACTGAAAAAAAATTAAAGTGATAAAAGTATTTCACATTTAAATTATCATCTTGGGGGCCAGATAAGATGTCAACGAGAGCCACGTTTGGCCCCCGGGCCTTGAGTTTGACACATGTTCTAGAGAATAATTTTTTTTCTGACGTGTTTGCCTCCTGTCTGACAAAAGAATTCTGTAATAAACATTTTAAAAAACATTTCAACATGGCAATTTTAAAAAAGAACTCATTGTTGGTAGACCTGGATAGACGGCAGGTACAGCGCTTTTAGAAAAAAAAATGGCTGCCTATTTTGCACATGCTCACCATCACTTTGTACCCTAGAAACCAAAACAATAATGGTGCAGTTTATTTTTTTACATCCGTCTCAAACTGATCAGGTGCTGAAATGCTTAATTGTAAACTATACACGTTAGTTTTGTTTAAATTTTTAGCCAAACAGAATGTTATCTACATTTTGGTATGTGGATGATGTAAACCTTGCTACCTTTGGTGCGTCACGCGTGTTTTTGTTAGAACGCATGAACACAGAAAAAAAGTAACTAAAACAAAATGCAGTATTGTACACAGGACTCAGATGCTCATACTGAAACGACAGAACCAGAATTGTGTTTTGTGTTCGGTTTCTTTTTTTATTCTGTTTATCTGGTTGACTTCCTGTAAAGTTGCTTGGGATGTTTCTTCCTTAACAGTAACAGGATTTCTTGTTCTCTGAACCAGAGATGGGCAGAGATTTAAAAGCATTCTTTGTGGTTTTGCTGGTTAACTTTAATAAGTAGGTGGTGTTTGCTACTACTTAAATAATTGTCCTTGTTCATTTTCAGCAACATTATCAACCACATTTTGACACTATTTGATCCATGTCTCTGTGACTTAAAAAGATTAGAAGAGCATTTGCACTAAAACAGAAACTCTCTACTTAAATTTAAAAAAGTGGAAACACATCAGCTTAAAGATAAGTAAAAATGATTGAGGAATGGGTGGAAACTTTTGTACCAAACTTTGACTCATAAAGGAATGTTTTTCTCATTTTTTTAGAGTTTTAATCTTTAAAGTTAGTCTGTTTCCCAAAGTGTTTGTCAGAGGACAAGTATTTTACGGCAGAAGTCATTCCTCAGGGCCGCCGGGGGGCAGAATGCCTGAACTAATTCAGATGTCAAGAATCTCACTCTTCTCAACCAGCATGATTTATTGCTGCACAGCGTCCTCAGTAAGCATTGTTCTAACCTCAGCAAATCTTCTCATTTAATATAAATATCAGTCAAGTCAAATTTATTTATATAGCACATTTAAAACCATAACTTACCAAAGTGCTTAACAAAAAGATAACGGCATCAAATAAAAAAAAAAAACATAATAATTACAGCATCAAGAATAAAAGCATAACAACATGAAACATAAGTAGAAACAATGAAATACTAAATCAAATCGCCCTGAGTTAAATATCAAGGAATAAAAGCAAAAGGGATAAACAATTGGCAACAATGAAATACTAAATCAGATCACACTATTCAATGCCAATGAGTACAGGTGTGTTTTGAGGAGAGATTTAAAAGCAGAGACTGAAGTGGCCTGTCGAATATTGATGGGCAGATTGTTCCAGAGTTTAGGGCCCATGATTGAAAAGGTTCAATCTCCGCTGAGCTTCAGCCTGGTTTTTGGTACCACCAAAAGCAGCTGGTCCGATGATCTCAAAGCCCGAGAAGGAGCATATGGATGAAGGTCGGAGAGATATACCATACCATTTTATTTATAAAGCACTTTAAACAGTGACAGGGCCAACCAAAGTGCTGTACAAACAGGCAAAGCACACAGCAACATATAACGCAATGTAAAATCAAAACAGAAACAAAATAATAGCAGATAATAACATAATGACCAACACAGTGTGATGCATACAGGTTCAACACAGATCATACAGTGTTGAAAGCCAGGGAATGGTAGTGGGTTTTTAAGCAGGATTTAAAAACTGAGGGAGGGGTCCTGCCTGACAAGCAGAGGTAACTCGTTCCAAAGTTTTGGGCCTGCAACAGAGGAGGCCCTGTCACCTCTGCGCTTAAGACGGGTTCCTGGAACTGTGAAAAGCAACTGGTCCGCTGACCTCAGAGAACGCGGTGGGACATACGGCTGCAGCAGATCAGTGAGATAGGAGGGGGCAAGGCCGTTAATGCACTTAAGTGTTCATCCATCCATCCATTTTCTTCCACTTATTTGGGGTCAGGTCGCGGGGGTAGCAACTTAAGTAGGGATGCCCAGACTTCCCTCTCCCCAGCCACTTGGTCTAGCTCCTCTGGGTGAATCCTGAGGCGTTCCCAGGGCAGCCGAGAAACATAGTCCCTCCAGCATGTCCTGGGTCTTCCTCTGGGTCTCCTCCCGGTGGGACGTGTCTGAAACACCTCACCAGGGAGGCGTCCAGAAGGCATCCTAACCAGATGCCCGAGCCACCTCAACTGGCTCCTCTTGACGTGGAGAAGCAGCGGCTCTACTCTGAGTCCCTCCCGGATGATCAAGCTTCTCACCCTACAGTGTTTCCCCTACTTAGCTTGCCATGGCGGGGTGCTCATCTCATCCATGATTTTCGGTGCGGGGGGTGGGGGTGGGGGGGTGGGTGAAGAGAGACATGTCTGAGCACAGCTTGTACTAACAGTTTTTGAGCTGGGGCGGGGGGCGTTCAACATGAGGGAAGAGGCAATGTGAGTGCTACCTTGGGCTTTTTAGCTAGAGAGCCTGTATTTTGTGCCGCTACCTTAATGATATGTCAGTGTCGGGTGGGGGTGGGAGGGGCAAATTCAGTTTGGTAGGCGGGGTGCTCAGTTTTTTTGGCGGGGTGAGGCACCCCGCCTGTATAATGGTAGGGGAAACACTGCCCTATCTCTAAGGGAGAGCCCAGACAACTTGTGGAGAAAACTCATTTCAGCCGCTTGTACATGAGATCTCATTCTTTAGGTCACCACCCAAAGCTCATGACCATAGATGAGGGTAGGAACGTAGATCGACCTGTAAATTGAAAGCTTCACCTTTTGACTCAGCTATCTCTTCAACACGACAGACCGGTACAGCGCCCGCTTCACTGCCGACACCGCAACTCTCGCTCCATTTTACCCTCATTCGTGAACAAGACCCCAAGATACTTAAACTCCTCCATTTGGGGCAGGACCTCCTCCTCAACCCGGAGATGGTACTTTACCCTTTTCCGGCTCAAGACCATGGCCTCGGATTTGGAGGAACTGATTCTCATCCCGGTCGCGTCACACTCTGCTGTGAACCACTCGATCGAAAGCTGTAGATCACGACCTGATGAAGCCAATAAGACCACTTCATATGCAAAAAGCAGAGAAGCGATCCTAAGGCCGCCAAAACAAATCCCCTCAACACCTTGGCTGCACCTAGAAATTCTGTCCATAAAAGTTATGACAAAGGGCAACCTTGGCAGAGTCCAACTCTCACCGGGAACGAGCCAGACTTACTGTCGGCAATGCAGACCAAGCTCTGACACCGGTCATATAGGGACCTAACAGCCTGTATCAAAGGGCCTGGTGCCCCATACTCCCAGAATACTCCCCACAGGTTCCCTGATGGATGCGGTCGAACGCCTTCTCCAAGTCGGGCACACTCCCACACACCCTCTAGTGTAAATCTGGTCCAGTGTTCCACGACCAGGACGAAAACCACACTGCTCCTCCTGAATCCGAGGTTCGACTATCCGACTGACCCTCCTCTCCAGAACCCCCTAATAGACCTTACCAGGGAGGCATAAGAGCGTGATCCCCCTGTAGTTGGAACACACTCTACGGTCTCCATTTTTGAATAGGAGGACCACCACCCCAGTCTGCCAATCCAGAGGACTTTCCCCGATGTCCACGTAATATTGCAGATTCATGTAAGCTAACACAAACCTACAACATCTGGAGCCTTAAGAAACTCCAGGTGAATCTCATCCACCCCTGGGGCCCTGCCACTGAGGAGCTTTTTAACCACCTCGATGACCTCAGCACCAGAGATAGCCTGACCCAAAGTCCCCAGGCTCCGCTTCCTCAGTGGAATTCGTGCCGGTGGGATTGAGGAGGTCTTCAAAGTATTCTGCCCACTGATTCACGACATCTCGAGTTGAGGTCAGTAGCACACCACCTACACTATAAATAGTGCTGGTGGTGTACTGCTTCTGCCCACTGAGAA